GAAAATAGGCCCTCCCACAGGTCACCTTTTTACAGCAGGGGTTTTCAAAGTTTTCATCACTGAGTGCCAGTTTGGGAGCCAGCACCTGATTGAGTGCTGCATAGGAATGTTAAACTCTGTTGCGAGGGTGGTGGTATTTAGTGCTGGTGTTTCTTCATTTCATTCAGTCACTTTTCTCGCTTGTATGTTTTTGGACACACGGTTTAGTTGTCTAGGAACAGAGGAGGTTGTTGTCTTGAAATTAGTTGCTCATCCTGTCCATGCCTATCGTTATCCAGGGTAACTCCCGCCTTTCATTAAGGCTGTAAAATTAAAAAATGAGGCTACAAGATGGCAGCGATCAAACTGAGGACCTAACAAATGCAAAGTGAATTTGCTTTAAGCCTGAAATTCACTTTTTTATTTTCACGCAGCTCATTGTTTTTGTTTAGAGCTTCTTCATTCAGGTGAACGACTTCATGAAAGTCTGATTTTTATCACAGCAGTGTACCGTTCAGAGTTCACCTCTCATAACGCTCGGTTAACATTTACATGAGCTGTACTATTTGTGTGTCTCTGTGAATTGTGTGTCATCTTTAGAGTTTAAAAGAAGGCAAATAGGCTTTTTTAGGCTTATTTGAAGATGTTTCACCTCTCAAGATGCTTCTTTGGGTCTAGAACTGATGGAAAGTCACAGGTAATGAACCCCTTGTGGGGGCTGTGTTATCCTTGTTCCTTTCAAGGGTGGTTCAGTGTATTTCGTCCTAAAGGAGAATGAAAGAAGCACTCAAACACCTTCTTTTCATATTTAGATAATCTGAAGAGCTACTTCTGGGTCACTTCCCCCATTTAGAGTCCTGTGTCTTCAGCAACGGCCCACGTCTTACAGTCTCACGTTGGTGCACTTTTGTGTTTCTGCCCTGACTGGACTCTTAACACCTAATGTAGCAATCTGAGGCATTAAAACCTCGCTCTTGCACATTTTGGTGATTTTGGACCCTGAACGTTTTCCCCCCTCAGCCGTAAAAGTCTGATGGGTTATTGTTTTGACCCTGCCGGGCACGCAAGCGACATGATCACAGTTTGTGAATGTGATCACAAAGTCACATTCACAATCACAGATCACAGAGTCGAGGTGTCACATTCACAAGTTTGTGAATGTGACACCTCGACTCTACTAAAAATCTCAAATAAGTTTGAGTCTCAGTGACCTTGACCTCAAGGTTAGAAGTCAAAGGTCAAGTTTTCTAAAAATCTTATGAATGTGAAAACTTCAGAACACAGTCACGTAGCATTTTGAAATTCATGCTGTAGGTGTCTCTACTAGGAGGCTAAAGGGTACTACTGGTCACCGCCAGTATTTTTGTAGATGAATTTTTGGTAACAGCAGGTGGTGTTTTTGTCCTCTCGGGTGTAGTGCGTGGTGTTTATGCACAAACTGAACAGCGCCTGCCTCCGTGGGATTCAAAGTTTTGTTTTTGTTTTTTTTTTTGCAGTTTGTTCCATGTAAAGGCATCAACAGCCCAACAACAACTGAGTTTGCTAGCATTATACCATTTAGTCAAGCATAACTACTGGCACTATGGAGGTAACAAAAATACTTCTAATTGTGATTATTCTACTTTAAATGATTAAAAGTAGAGTAAACTTAACATTTAGGTACAGTAAAGCAGCGGTCCCCAACCCCCGGGCCTCGGACCGGTACCGGTCCGTGAGTCGTTTGGTACCGGGTCGCGAGAGTTGAGGCTCAGGTGTGAACTGTATGAGTTTCAGGGTTTTTATCGGTTTTCAGCGTTATTTTGTTATTGTTTTGATCATTAACTCTGTTTTCCTGGGTCTTTTCACGTGTGTTATGAATAAATCTTCTTTTTTTCGGTACCGGTACTAGTTTTATTTTGTTGTATTTCTCCGTGACACATTAAAGGCCGGTCCATGAAAATATTGTCAGGCATAAACCGGTCCATGGTGCAAAAAAGTTTGGAGACCGCTGCAGTAAACCGTTTTACCGTATCTGTCAAATAAGAAATTAAAGGAATTTCCCAAGTTTGGGATAAATGAATCGTATCATAAAGGAAGCGGTATACATATGAAAAGCACAAATACAGGGAGTGCAGAATTATTAGGCAAGTTGTATTT